CAAAGTTACACTATCAAGAAATGTTTTGTATTTCTTTTCTATCCAACCAGAAAATAGCATTTTGAGAGATTATTGAAAGAAATCATAATAATCTACAAGAGCATTTATGTCCAATGATCAAGGAAGAGCAGGCCTTTGCTTCTCACATGGATCGGTTATTCATAGATATTAACCTCTTTGACCAGCAAGAGATGAGAAAACTATTGCTGGGCTTAGCAGTCTCAAAATTCCTACAGATCAGTTAAAAACTGCAGATCCATTTTATTTCTTGGAAGGTAGCCTTTTTTTTGTTTCTAAGGTACATTTTGAGATATTAAAAAAATGCTCATTTATGTCCATTGTCTAAATATCCTTGGGGAGAAGGCCCAAGGTTGCTGTTTGAAAGGCAGGCCCAATGCCCCAGAGGGAGCCTCCTTTAATGCGGCTTTTTGTTTAAACCATTAGAATATTTGCTGCTTAAAAAAAACAAAACAGAACTAGTAATGAAATGTTTATGAGAAATGGCCACAGCAATTGCTGCATATTTTATAGCAGAATGTTGTGGTGTTCCTTATATTGAGAGAGTAGAATGTGTTTGGGGTTGGGATGATCAAACCCAGATGCTTTCCAAAAATTATATTTTCAGTGCATTTATATGTCTGTTACAAAGTGTGCTACATGCTAAAAAATATTTTCCTTTGTAGGCCAAGGGAAATTTCAAACTGTATTGAGGGTTATATATATCAGATGGTTTTTCTTAAGTGTGTTAAGGGCATCCTGGTTGTTATTAGTCCACACTTTGCAATATGACATTATTTATGCCAAAAAGCTTCACAATTCAATTCTTCTTTAATTTCAGCAACTTTATTAGCATGAAAATGTATGGGAGAGAGGCCAAAGTCAATACATCAGAATTTAGGAGCAGGACTTGGGGGCAGCAAGTGATAATGGGATTCTGCTGGAGATAACTCCTCCAGTCCACCATCTGTTTCCTGGGACTGGGAAGCTGCCCCATGTGAGGCAGCTGCTGCCTTTCTGCCAAAAACTTCGTCTTTCCTCCAGGGCTCACCTCCTTTTTCCTCAGAGGCACAGGCTGTCACTTTCTGTACTCTGCACCACCAAGTAAGGCACACTTCCCCATGACTCTTCATGGTTGTATTTCTCCTGATACTTAGCTCCAGATTTCTTACTGGCCTCTCAAAATTGTACTTCTTGGTCACTGTCACTGATTTTGTAATTGAGGGACATCTGCCTAAATTTCACATAAATCCTCCAAGAAGCTGCATATGACAAACCGAAGAACATACAGGTTTCTAACTCTAAAAGAACTGTGCTTTTAAAATCCGTGTGTGTGTGTGTGTGTGTGTGTGTGTGTGTGTGTTTGTGTGTGTGTGTACAAGCATGCATGCATGTGCAAAATCTACTTTTTATTTATATGTGTGTTTCTCTGAGTGAATGCTGCATGTGTGCAGGCGATCAGAGGCCAGAAGAAGGCATCAGATCCCCTGGAGCCGGAGTTATAGGCAGTGGTAAAGCCACCCAGTGTGGGCACTAGGAACCAAACTTGGGTTCTCTGGAAGAGAAGCAAGCACTCTTAACCATTGAGCCATCTCTTTAACCCTCTAACTTATTTTTTGAGACAGTATCTCACTGAACCTAGAGTTCACTGACTGTTAAACTGGTTGGCCAGTGAGCCCCGGGGATCTCTATCTCTGCCTTCAAGTGCTGGGATTATAGGCATGCATTGCCACACCTGGCTTTTTACATGGGGTATAGGGTGTCCGAACTCAAGACTTCATGCTTGCACCCCAAGGACTTTACTCACTCTGCTATCTCCCTAGCTCCAAGAACTATACTATTTTCTAATTTTTTTGATCTTTTTGAGACAGGGTCTCCCTGTAGCCCCAGCTGTTCTGGAACTCGCTATGTAGACCAGGCTGGCCTTGAACTCACAGAGATCTGCCTGCCTCTGCCTCCCGAGTGCTGGGACTAAAGGCATGTGCCACCACACCCGGCTTTGAAGAACTATACTTTTAAACTTAATTTACTTCTTTCCCCCAGTATACTAGAGCATCCCCATTTTGCATATTAGAATATCAGAGATGAAGGCAAGGCTATCGTTTCATTGAGGTGGTTCTTGCTCAGTGCATTATGAATGATAATTATGTATTTCTACCCATAACTCTGCATGATCGACATTATTATTATGCCCATTTTATAGAGAAGGAAACGGAAAACCAAGTCTAACTTAGAAGTCTATGTTAATTCAATACATTAGGTTTCTGATGTTTCTGCATCTAAGACCTGATCGTGCCGATACATTCTTAGAGTAATGTAGAAATACCACATTTCATTTTATGGTATTCTTTGTTGTTTGCTTTTTGAGACAGTTGCACTAGGTAACCCAGGCTGACTTTGAACCTTTGTTCCTCCTGCCTCAGTCTTACAAGTGCTGGAACTACAGGTGTGGCCATTATATCGGGCTTTGTTTTACAATATTCTTGTAATAACAGTTAGCCTAGCCTTTTGCATGAGATGGAGCTAGAAGTGGAATCGTTAATTCTTCTTCATGATGAGGAATATGAGAAAGCAAGCTTGCTTCTTATATCTGCCACTTGTCATTGGAAGGGTCAGTCAGCTTGTTTGTAGTGCTCAGATGGGCCATATCTCTGCAGCCTCCATCCAAGGACATTAAGTCCAGGGGGTTGTCAGGTCAGGCTTTTTATTCTGATGTCACAGCTCAGTTATTTTGAGCCCTTGGAAAGTTTGCATAGGTTCAAAATCCCAGACAGGCTTTTGTCTCTAAGGGGAAAGATGATGCTTACAGTTTACTTTATGCCTCTTGCTTTAGATCATCTCATTTCATCCACACTGTACCATTGGCTCACAGAGGTTGTGTGATATCAGTACACAAGAAGCAGAGGCACAATGCATAGGTCTCAGTTCTCAAGACTGTGCCTCCATTATACCTGGGCTTTGTCCTGAGCTAGTGCAGCTGCATTCACAGGACAGTGCTTAAAACAGCAACAACTGATTTGGTTGTACTTACCTGTTTTCTGGTGACCTTAAACATCAGAAAGCAAGGCAATGAAGATAAGAGGCAAAGCTAAAACAGACTTCAGTGTTTCTATGATAAGTTAAAATCCATAATTAGAAACACAGCCAGAGACGAGGGTGTAGCTTGGTGGCAAGAACATTTACCTAGCATGCATGCGGCTCTGGGTTCCATCCCAGAACCATTAGAGAGGGGGAGGGGGACTAGACGATAGGTTTAATAGAGTCTAAAGTACCTAATTGGAACATAAATTGACCGATGGGCTCTTACTTCTTGGCTATTAGGGATAGTTATGATAAGACTGATAAAGCGCTAATATTCTTTGCAGTTCTTTCCATCTGTGCTACTGGAGAGCACAAAAGCTGTGTTATGTGCAGAATAGCTGGGTTGATCCTCACTAGAGAGAAGTTATGTTTGGTATCTAAAGAACAATGAGGGTTTGCTGCTTGACTGATCAATGCTGGATCAAGTTCACATTCCCCAGCTCCCGCTCTCCCACCTACACATGTGGAGGGGCTGGGGGGTGGGGGACAAAGCAGAGGGAGGGAGAACAGGTCCTTTTTCACTCAGAGAGATTTGAGCTCTGGCTTTCCTAATATGGACACAGCTGGACCTGGGGAGAATTATACATTGATTAGTCCACTGATAGAGAAAACATCCCATGAAAAGTAAAGAGATTAGCGGCCAGTTAATTCTGGCTCTTCCCATTGTTTTCCTGGAACACCTCCTTGTAAGGAACTAAATGTTTGGTGAACAGACATTCTTGAAAATGGCTTTCATAGTCATATTTATTTGTATTTGAGTCAGTAACTACTCCCCAAATGTGTGTGTGTGTGTGTGTGCGCGCGCGTGCGTGTATGTGATTTTAGAATATGTCTTAATAAAGATGATTCAGGTTCAGTCCTCTTGTTCACAAATTGTGACTTATTTGGGTTTCTTTTGGCAGCACGTTGATTGATAGGCACTCTAGTCTGAGTGAGAAGGTGTTTTAAAAATAGATTACTGGGGCCATAGACTCCCTGTGCATTCTGCCTTCCCAGGCACCACAGAGCAATGACATGTCCTTGCCCACATATTTTTGAACACCACAGCCACTGCATCCTGGGAAGTGACAGGAAGGTACCTAGGTGTGCTGTTGGCTTTCTAGCTAGTGAAATATCAACAGACCATATGTCTCTGTGGTAAATTAGGAATTCATACCTTTGGGGAGGTGTTTGGTCAAATTGGTTTTCCCAATAGCATCCGCATATATGTGTATGGGTGTGTGTTTTCTATTTTAAAACATTTTTTATTTGTTTTTATTTTGTGTATTTGTGTATTGCCTACATGTATGTAAGTACACCCATGTCACCCCTTGGAGGACAGAAGAGGCTATCAAATGCTCCTGGGACTGGAATTATGGACAGTTGTTAGCTGCCATGTGGGTGCTGGTATTTGAACCTGGATCTTCTGCAAGAACAGCCAGTGTTCTTAACTGCTGAGCCATCTCTCCAGCCCTGGGTATGTGTTTTCTAAGCAACAAGTCCATTTGATCAGAACAGGCTGCCAGTAACTTAAGAGGTCAGCATGGACTGCTCCCTGAATTGAGCTGTCCCTTCTGTACACAGCAGAGGTCTCTCCCATTGGTATATACTGTCCCTGGTTCTAGCCAGCAGTCTTCTAAATGCAGAGTGCTTGTTTCTAGGGAATGAGTGGTGGCCAGCACCACAATCAGAACATTAGAAGTGTTACCTCCTGTGGATAGCACTGGAGGCTAGCACTAAACCAGGCCCCTGGAGACAAGCATTAAGGTCTTTTCACTCAGGGCCCCAGGAACTGTATTAACCATGAATCTAGAAAAGACTCTAAAAATGTCCAGTGTCTGTCCATTCTTGCTTCCCTTATGGGAGGATTGTGGGAATCTTGGGTTTGCTTTAAATCTTTTTGTATGCTTAGTTTGTGTTTTAAATTTATTCCTAAATATAAGCTTCGGGAAATGCTGCCTGTGTCATCTCAGCAGCCCAAGCTCCTCAGCACTGTGTCTCCTGCCCGTGGGAACTCATTCTCATAAAGCATGGTATGTGGTCTTCCCTCTGTATTATTGACCTTCAAATTTAAATGCTTCCCAAACACCTAGAATTTGAGGGGGAGGAGGACCTAATAGATATGGGACATTATTAAAACAGCTCAAACTAGTGGTTCTCAGTGCTGACTGCACATTGGAAACATGGGGGAGGAGAGACTTAAAATGACTCAGAGCTGTGAATCTCAGTGGTCATCTGGGTGCTAGGATTTGTAACACCAGACACCACACATACACACACACACATGCGGCGATTCTCATAGAGCATTTAGAGGTGGGAACCACAGATCTAAAGCCCCTGTTTATAATTTTGTATTTCACCTGTGAACACTCTTTAATGTTATAGTGTCATGAATGAATATCAAGGTCATGTAAAGAATTACAGTCAGGGGTTAGGGTTATAGCTCAGTCAATAAAGTGGTTGCCATACAAACACCAAGACCTGAGGTTTTTTTTTTGTTTCGTTTTTTGTTTTTTTGAAGTAGGGTCTTCCTGTAGCTCCAGCTGTCCTGGAACTCACTGTGTAGACCAGGCTGGCCTTGAACTCACAGAGATCTGCCTGCCTCTGCCTCCCAAGTGCTGGGACTACAGGCATGCACCATCATGCCCGGCTAAGACCTGAGTTTTAGCCAGAGACCCCATTGTAACAAAGGCCAGCATGGTGCTGTATGCTTGTAATCCAGCACTGGGAGGTCCATATGCATAGAGCTTGTTGTTTTGCCAGCCTAGCTGTCTCATGGAGCTGTAGCCTGATGAGAGAGCCTGCTCAAAAAAAAATAAGGTACACGACTCTTGAGGAATGACACCAGAGGTTGACCTCTGGCCTCCTGATGTGCACATGTGCACGCACATCTGCATACACCTACAAACATGCACACACGCACACACACACACACACACACATGAAAGAACTGTAGTCATACACACAGTGGAAGATAGATGATAATATGTCTCTTTCAGCCAATATTATGGGATGGAATTATAGTTTATGGTCTGTGTTTTGACCTAGGGTTAACCAGATCCATATAGTAAACAAATATTTTAAAGTGACACAGTCACAGTTGATGTTCCCTTAGCTCTATTGCTGGTGTGAAAAGAGCACCAGGATTCCAACCAGGGGACCCCAGGGCTGAGTGATATGAAGCAGCAGAGGCACTGGAATTTTACCAGAGACCTGGTGTCTGGGACCCTGTGATGCCAAATGCTTTGTAAACTGCTTCTATACAGAAGCTGGTTTGTACCAGTTACAAGGTTCTGTGGTCTCTGATTGTTGGGCGCTTCAGTATGGAGTCTGAAGGCCACTTCCTACCAGGTTCTAGATTGCTGCTTTACTTCTTAATTCTAATAGCCTACAATTTGATAGAATACGTGCTTCTTTGATAAATACGTGCCATAAATACATATGGCATTCAATCTTCACAACTCTATGAGAAAGACGGCTTAGAAGGGTCCCACAGCTGATATGGCTCCGAACCCAGACAAGCTCTTCACGTATTCTGTATACCACACCACATCTCTGCCTTGTCTCGTGAGTTTTCTGAGGGCATGATGGTGTCCTCCTCTATTCAAAGACTCTGATGTTCTGTTTTTCAGTGGGCCTCCAACATTTTTGTCAAGCATGTAACCTGCCTATATGTCCGATTTGCATTCTCCCTGCCAGCTAAGTACCTTTCCTCTGGTTTTGATTTCAAAAGAGATATTTGGTTGGTTAACATAGTCTGGTGTGATGCTTTTATAGTGTCATTATTCTTTTGAAAATATTTTAATATTTTGTTTATGAGCATTTTGCCTGCGTGCACCACATGTGTGCAGTGACCACAGAGGCCAGAAGAGGGTGTCACATTCCCTGGAACTAGAGTTATGGATGGTTGTTAACCACCATGTGGGTGCTGGGAATCAAACCTGGGTTCTCTGCAAGAGCAGCAAGTGCTGTTAACTGCAGAGCCATCTCTCTAGCCCTGTTTATAATTTTTATTTCCTAATAATTATTTTCTTTGAATTCTGTGATAAATATAATCATATGGCCTTCTCTTGAAACACTTTACTTCTAAATGTTGTTAATGGGAGAAACACTAAAACCATGAAAATGTTCTAGCCAACTAAAGAGAAAAAGGAAATTAAAGAAAGGGGGAATAATAAAACCTGAATACCTTATTTAGTCATATCTCTCCTGCCCCAAAGCAGCTTCCAAAGCAGATAAATACAGCATGGTAGAAGGAACTTAAGTTTCAGCAAAGCTTCCTCAGGGAACAGGGTGATGAACACAAAAGGCCACAACTGGCTGAAGTGTAGAGAATAAGACTGCTGAGTGTGGGTCCTATATTAAACTTCCCCCACCCAGGGCTCAGAGACCATTGTAGAAAAGGAGGTGCAAAGATTATAAGAGCCAAGGGACGAGGTACATGACCATAAGGAAATAGAGACTTACAGGCTCCTGGGACCTTGCTCCTGAACTTACAGCAATGGTGTCAGCATGCACAAGACCCACGCAAACTCAGACAAAAACCAGTATAGAACTGGGGAAATGGGCAGGAGGCCACAACTTTGATGAGGAACTATTGGCAGCTGATTACTGCTGGGTGAGTTGATCTTTAAGGGAGCGATGCTACATAGGCTGAACAGGCTCCAGTGGATGAACTCACATTGAGGGACATCTGGGTACACAAATTTGACTTGATAGGCCTTAACATATATAGCAAAATGCATGAAGGAAGTCCTGTGGGTAGGCTATGGGGGGTACTCAGATAGGGACGGAGGGCTAAATAGAATTAAGATGTATTGTATGAAATCCACAAAAATTCAATAAAATAATATATATTTTTTTAAAATTTAGAAATAAAAAAAAATAGAAAAGCAAGGCCATGTGAAAATAATGACAGGAGAACAGCTGGGGTGAGGAAGAGAATTAGCATCAGTAAGCATGCCCTGAGGTTACTGTCCTGGCCAAGGAGGGCCCCAAAGCATTAAGCTTTCAGGAAAAAGAAAGAGGGATAAACAAGTGTTTAGGAGGTAAAAAACACACTGGGTGCCCTAGTCTACCATTCCTGACATTTATACCATGGAGGAGGAAAAATGACTATCTAATGTGATACCTGTCCTTCTAGTAAACACGGCAGTGTTTACTACATTTTATGGGGCCATTTCTCACAGTGTCCCTCCATAAAGGTTGATTGCGTCTCACTAGAACTCAGTGTGATAAGAGGACATTCCCAGGGTACAGGGAAGATGAAGTCTACGCCCAGCTTTATGGTGGCCTGGCTTAAGCCAAGAATGGATTTTATGGTATCCAGGATAGGAGCTGGAGCATCAAAAGAGTCTGTGAACATCTGGAAACTGGTGCATGTGTGTGTGTGTACATGCAGCCAGTGGGTATGTGTGTAGGTGTATTTTTCCTCTTCAAGGGAGCTAGAAGCACCATTAGATTTCATCAGATCATCCAAAAGGATCAAGAGGGGGCATAGCTTGGGACCAAAGGTGGAGCCCAGCAAGAGTCCTTGACTAGTATGCTTAAGGCCCTGAGCTTGATCTCCCTACACTACAAAGTGTGAGGGGGGGAAAGGAGAACAGCTGAGCACATCACTTTATCCTTCAGTTGGGCTCTGCAACATGAGGTCAGGGGAGCAGCTACAGAGAGGAATATGCTTTGCAGTTGGTCACTGCAGACACTGACCTCAGCAGACAGTTAAGCCCAGTGTGGACTGAGGTTTTTTTTCTCAAAATTGTGCTGTATTAGGCTTCTACCTGGCAGGGTGGAAATCCAGCTCAGAAAGGAGGTAGGCCTGACAAAATGGAGAATAACACAAGTTCCGTACATATGATCCTTCTGAAATCAGCCAAACCAGAAACATACAGGAATACTATATTTATTTATTTATTTATTTATTTATTTATTTATTTATTATTTATGTATTTGGTTGTAGCCTTAGCCTTTAATGGCTGTGCTATGTCTCCTGCCCTATTTATTTATTTGTAAATTTTTTATTGAATTTTTATGTATTTCATACAGAACACTTTAATCATCTTTATACCCCCTTCCGCACTGGCACCCTCCCATAGCTGGCCCCCACCCCACACACTGGAAAGAATACTACATTTAAAAACAGTAGAACAAAATTTAAAGCCATAAACATTTGATATTGTTCCTAATCCTGATTTATTACTGCCACTTAATCTAACCTCAGTCTTACTTCCAGATCTGTGTACTCACCTACCTTTTTGTTTTATTTTGTTCTGCTGGTTGCTTGTGTGCACCACAAACTCAGTGATTCCTACTTGTTAGTTTACCCTGAATATATGTTAGTAACATAACCCTTCTGAAACCAGCAGAAGCTTCTGGAACCCTTTACCTTGTTTGGTATCCAAAGGTCCTTTGACTTCTTTCTGTGGATGGTTTTCCCTAAGCTTTGCCCAGGGGAGTGTAATTTGCGGTCTGAGGCTGTTGGGGTAATTAAAGGGCTCCTCCTGTTTACCCTGTGGGACTTCCCTTGGTTCGGAAGACCAGCCTCTCCTCATTCCCCTGTTCTTCATCCACCAAGTAGAGGCAGGAAAAGAATGCCCACCAGTATCAATGTTAAAATGGCATCACCATCTTTGTCCAGGAAAAGGAGTAACTTTCTCTTTCACTAAAAAAAAAAATCCAGAAGGAAGAAAACAGAAATAAGGTTTTCTCTCTGAAGATCATTTCCACTTTCTACATAAAGCAGTGTTTTTATTTTAAAGTAATGACATTTTCCTGAGGCTCTGAACTTTGCCTTTTATGAACTGCTTTGACAAGGAAGTTTCTTACAACTTCCTTTCTAAACTTGCCTCTAACTAGCTGAGGCATCTTTAAAGATATAATTTGAATAGAAAACAGTCTGTTTTCAAAAGATAGCTTGAAAGTGCTTTTACCAGTCTGGAAGATGTTAGACTATTTATCCCTGACTGCAAAATTCCTGTTTTAAAAAGCTGCTTACTATCATTGGAGTGAGCCCATGAGGAAGGAGAGAAATATGTTCAGGTGGTTTTGAACACAATAAAAAATCTTATTTTTTCCAGTGATAATCTTTAATTCTTGATCAATTTCAGCTCTTACCATCATTTTGGAATATAATTTAAATGATTAATTTATAGGAACCTTTCTTGCTTTCTATTTTTATTTTCAAACAATGTTAGAACTATCCTGGCAATGTGACTACTGTCTCTCTTTTTCCAAATGCACTATTCTATGCTCTTTACAAATGAAAATATTCTAGTGGTGAAACAAATTGGAGTTAATTAGAAAAGCATTCCTCTTTAGACTCCTCCCTTGAAATACTCTGTGCCATGCATTCATTTGTTCCTTTCTACTTCTATTCACTTTAAAATGTTATTATTTATTGTGTGTGTGTGGGGGGGGTACCCTGCCATGGTGAGCCTGGAAGTGGGGGGAAACCTCTGGGTGTTTGTCCTCTCCATCTACCATGTGGGTCTGCAGGATTGAACTCGAGTCATCAGCCTTGACAGCAGCTGTCCTACCCCCTGAGACATCTTTTCAGCTCCCATTCCATTAAAAATCATTTTCTGAGCATTTACTGTGTGCTAGCCCATGATCCTTAGTCACTGGAGAAATCAAGAACAACAACAAAAAACCCAGGATATCCTCCTTAAGAAGCTTAAAGTCTAGGTAGGGAAACAGATATTTATTTAATCAGTTCATTTGAAAAAAAAAACAACAACAACAACAGGGGGGCTGGAGAGATGGCTGAGTGGTTAAGAGCACCAGTTGCTCTTCCAGAAGATCTGGGATTGGTTCCTAGCACACACATGGCAGCTAACAACCTCCTTAATGCTAGTTCCGGGAAATCTGATACTGACACCCTCTCTGGCCTCTGCATGCCCTGCACAACATAGATGCAATTACATACATGCAGGCAAAACACTCATACACCTAAAATAAATAAAAAAATTTTAAATTAGGATGGCAAGATTGCTCACTTAATAAAGGTGCTTGCTGCCAAGCCTGACAACCTAAGTTCAGTCCCCATAATCCACATGGTGGAAGGAAGGAAGTGACTTCCACAAGTTTTCCTCCAACCTTTACACGCATGCATGTGCGCATTCAGCTATACACACATACACATACACAAACAAAATGTAATAAAAAATTGAAAATAAATAGCCATGATGATTGTACCAACCTGTGTTAACCCTAACAGGAGGTGCAGACTTCAATCATAACATCTGTTCTTCCATTGTAACACATGTGCCATAACTGCATCTTATCAAATGCAAAATGTTAATATTAGGAAGAATTATGGGGTTAAAGATATGAAAATAATGTTCTTTCTGCTCACTTTTTCTATAAACTTAAAACTACTCTAAAAGTCTCTTAATAAAAAATAGAAGTCTAAATAAAGACGATCACTGGTGAAGGTTGCAAACAGGATGCTATTAGAACAGTGGGGTGACATCATTTGAACTTGATGGCGAGCAGAGACCTTTCAGACCTGACATTAAGTTCAGAACTGGAGAATACAAAAGAAAAAGCCAGGCAGGTACAGCATTTTCAGGAAAGCAAAGTGATATCATTGCAATTACCCTTGGAAACCTACTTCTGGTTTCTCTGTGGAGAATGGATTGTAGGGTGGGGCAAGGGTACAAACGAGGACATGTCAGTGGCAGGTGAATGGATCTCAGCCTTGGCTCTACATTCAACAAATTTCAGCCTTAGTCAGAAACCATTGGGCTGTCCATGGGCTGGGCACTGGGGGAAAAGGAGACCCTGTTAGTGGTGAACCAGAGGGTTTCCAGATGTTTCTAAAATCTTACCAGCAGCTCAGTGGGCTTCATAGAATTGAGA